AAAAAGGATTACGAGGCTAAGGTCGCAAGGGATTCAAACACTAATCCAAAAGGGTTCTTTCAGGTAAACAGAAGTAAGATTAGGGACAAGATTGGCCCACTTAAGAGTAACTCTGGTTAGATCACTGACAGTGATAAAGATATGTGTGAAATTCTGTATACCTACTTCCTCTCAGTTTTCACCCAGGAAAATACTAACGATATTTCTGAAATAAATTATGTAGAACAGGATGATAATAAACTATGTACGATTGCGGTAACTAGCGACATGGTCCTCAGACAAATAGAGAAACTAAAGCCTAACAAATCCTCAGGTCCTGATGAACTGTTTGCAATGGTGTTAAAGGAATGTAAAATGGAACTTAGCATACCTTTGGCTAATCTTTTTAACATATCACTACAAACTGGCATAGTGCCTGATAAGTGGGAAATGGCAAATGTAATACCTATTTACAAGGCAGGTGACAGGTCCTTGGCTTCGAACTATAGACCAATAAGCCTTACCTCCATAGTGGGAAAATTTATGGAATCAATAATTGCCGAAGCAATTCGTAGCCATCTTGACAGGCACAGATTGATTAATGAATCTCATCACGGTTTTACGAAGTGGCGTTCCTGTCTTACGAATTTACTAACTTTTCTCACTAAGGTGTTTGAGGAGGTAGATCATGGTAATGAATATGATATTGTGTATATGGACATCAGTAAGGCTTTCGATAGAGTTCCACACCAGAGGCTATTGAGGCAACTTAAGGCACACGGAATAGGAGGAGAATTTTTTTCCTGGGTAGAGGCATGGCTGACAAATAGACAGCCGTGTTCATCAGGGGTCAGTGTTGGGCCCGTTGTTGTTCACAATTTACATAAACGACATAGATGAGGGAATAAATAGCGACATAAGCAAATTTGCTGATGACACCAAAATAGGCCATCCAGTTCATTTTAATGAGTCACTAGAGCACTCCAGGATAATTTGAATACAGTGATGCAATGGTCGGAGAAGTAGCAAATGCAGTTTAATATTGACAAATGCAAAGTTCTAAATGTTGGACAGGAAAATAACCATGCCACATATAAACTAAATAATGTAGATCTTAATACTTCTGATTGCAAAAAGGATCTAGGAGTTCTGGCTAGCAGTAATCTAATACCAAGAGGACAGTGCATTAGTGTTCGCAATAAAGCTAACAGAATTCTTGGCTTGATATATAGAAGTATAAATAATAGAAGTCCTCAGGTTGTTCTTCAACTCTATGTATCCTTGGTTAGGCCTCATTTAGACTATGCTGCTCAGTTCTGGTCACCGTATTACAGAATGGATATAAATGCTCTGGAAAACGTACAGAGGAGGATGACAAAGATGATCCCATGTATCTGAAATCTTCCCTATGAGGATAGACTGAGGCCCTGAATCTGCACTCTCTCGAAAGGCGTAGAATTAGGGGGGATATGATGGAGGTGTATAAATAGAAAACAGGAATAAATAAAGAGGATGTAAATAGTGTGCTGAAAATTTCCAGCCATGACAGGACTCGTAGCAATGGTTTCAAGTTGGAATAATTCAGATTCAGGAAGGATATAGGAAAGGACTAGTTTGGTAATAAAGTTGTGGATGAGTGGAATAAACTTCCGAGTACAGTTATTGAGGCTTAAACATTGTGAAGCTTTAAAAATAGGTTAGATAAATACATGAGTGGGTGTGGGTGAGTGTGAGTTGACCTGACTAGCTTGTGCTGCTTGGTCTGGTGCAGTGCTCCATCCTTGAGTGGAGGTGACCAGACTGGGTGGGTAATTGGGCTAATCCGGGGGGATCATTGGTCTAATTCTGGGTGACATATGGACCTGCTCCGCATGGGTCAGTAGACCTGTTGCAGTGTTCCTTCTTTCTTATGTTCTCATGTTCTTAATAGGTATACTGAAACCTTTGGTCACGAGTGCTTCTGAACAAGAACAAATCGGTTCACGACCAAAAATTCGCCAGATTTTTGCATCTAGTCACGAACACACAATCGGGTGCCGAACAAACACAGTCGTGCCAATTTTCACATTGAGCCATTTTTTTTTTTTTTTTTTGCATGAGGCAATTTTGCCCACTTCCTGTTATTTGTGTACACCTAACTCTGTTATGTAAGGTTTTTTTTTTCTATTAAACTGAGCATTATTTTTTATAATTAAGGATTTTTTAAACTTTGATTATTTTTCTCTGTGGTTAAAACTCTTAGGACTCATGCAAGGTTAGTTTTCTCTGTTGTTCAAGGTTTTCTCAGTGTTATTCAAGGTTTTTACATTTAGTTTACTATTACACAGTGCATTCTATGGTATAATTAACTATTATTGTGCTTAAAGTAAAAAAAATGTTTACATACAGTTTATAAGGGTCTGGGACGGATTAATCGTATTTACATACGATCCAGTAAGGAAATTAGGTTCGGGTCACGACCAAATCGGGTCACGACCAGAGTTTTGGAATGAATTATGGTTGTGACCAGAGATTCCACTGTATAGATATTATTTGATTTTTGTATACTAACTGGAGAATGCATCTTCAGGTCGGCTATAAACTGTTAGTACTGTCAGTTTTAAACTGTTAGTGTTGGTCACTTTTAAACTGTTAGTGCTGATCAGTTTTAAACTGTTAGTGCTGGTCAGTTTTAAACTGTTAGTGCTGGTCAGTTTTAAACTGTTAGTGCTGGTCAGTTTTAAACTGTTAGTACTGGTCAGTTTTTAACAAAGAAAACAATCTCTTGTTCTTAGGTTGTGTACGTTGGTGTTCTTAGGTTGTGTACGTTGGTGCTCTTAGGTTGTGTACGTTGGTGTTCTTAGGTTGTGTACGTTGGTGTTCTTAGGTTGTGTACGTTGGTGTTCTTAGTTGTGTACGTTGGTGTTCTTAGGTTGTGTACGTTGGTGTTCTTAGGTTGTGTACGTTGGTGTTCTTAGGTTGTGTACGTTGGTGTTCTTAGTTGTGTACGTTGGTGTTCTTAGGTTGTGTACGTTGGTGTTCTTAGGTTGTGTACGTTGGTGTTCTTAGGTTGTGTACGTTGGTGTTCTTAGGTTGTGTACGTTGGTGTTCTTAGGTTGTGTACGTTGTGTTCTTAGGTTGTGTACGTTGGTGTTCTTAGGTTGTGTACTTGGTGTTCTTAGTTGTGTACGTTGGTGTTCTTAGGTTGTGTACGTTGTGTTCTTAGGTTGTGTACGTTGGTGTCTTAGGTTGTGTACGTTGGTGTTCTTAGGTTGTGTACGTTGGTGTTCTTAGGTTGTGTACGTTGGTGTTCTTAGGTTGTGTACGTTGGTGTTCTTAGGTTGTGTACGTTGGTGTTCTTAGGTTGTGTACGTTGGTGTTCTTAGGTTGTGTACGTTGGTGTTCTTAGTTGTGACGTAGGTGTTCTTAGGTTGTGTACGTTGGTGTTCTTAGGTTGTGTACGTTGGTGTTCTTAGGTTGTTGTACGTTGGTGTTCTTAGGTTGTGTACGTTGGTGTTCTTAGGTTTGTGACGTTGGTGTTCTTAGGTTGTGTACGTTGGTGCTCTTAGGTTGTGTACGTTGGTGCTCTTAGGTTGTGTACGTTGGTGTTCTTAGGAATGTTGTACGTGGTGTTCTTAGGTTGTGTACTTGGTGTTCTTAGGTTGTGTACGTTGGTGTTCTTAGGTTGTGTACGTTGGTGTTCTAGGTTGTGTACGTTGGTGTTCTTAGGTTTGTGTACGTTGGTGTTCTTAGGTTGTGTACGTTGGTGTTCTTAGGTTTGTGTACGTTGGTGTTCTAGGTTGTGTACGTTGGGTTCTAGGTTTGTGTACGTTGGTGTTCTTAGGTTGTGATACGTTTGGTGTTCTTAGGTTGTGTACGTTGGTGTTCTTAGGTTGTGTACGTTGGTGTTCTTAGGTTGTGTACGTTGGTGTTCTTAGGTTGTGTACGTTGGTGTTCTTAGGTTGTGTACGTTGGTGTTACCATTTATCAATTAGCTTGTACAATAATTGAAGAATGTTTGTTCTGATCAGTAATAAGTTAGTGTTTAACATTACTATTTTTGTTTATTATAGGTTTAATCTGCATAATGTACGTTATGTGCCATAACGTACGTGTTCTCGAGACTATTGCAAAAGTTTTATTTAAGTTTACTAAGCTTGTAAAAACTTAAATATTTACTTTCTTATTTACGTTCTTACTTACTTGCTTAGAAAATGTATTCTTTATCGCTTAGAAATTTGGATTGATTTTCGTCTGTGTAGATCTCAGTCTGTTTTGTTGGAAAGAGGAAATTGGAAGTCCTGTTTTTGACGCAACAATATTCTGAGTTCGCATCTGATTAGCATCAACCTTCTATGCTGATAGTTTGATAATGTAACTTTTGAATAACCTCAAGCTTAATGCTTATTTATTTTAGAATATTGGTCTTTTTGTTTGTTTCGATGGGTTAATTTATATTTTGTCCTTGAGTGTCCTAACCTAAGTTTTTCTATAGAAGTTTGACTATTAATTTCCACATAATAACTTGTGAAAGTCTCTTCGGATTCCCTTCCAGTCATGAAGATAAATATATAACTGCATTGTCATCTAATGTCGCGTCACTCCCTATCACTGACATGCACTGACACACTCCATTATAGGCATGTCTTTTTCAGATCTAGCAGTAATCAAAATATTTTTAACTCAAAATACTGTGTTTCGAAATCCGTATTTATTGTACCAAAGGAGAGGTAATGACTCACCTGTAAGTGATTACTCATCTTTTGGTACAATTAATTTAAACATATCTTTTCATAAGAGAAATATTATTCTTGTTCCCATAACATTACTGGTCAGAACATTATCTAACTACCAGACAATGTTGAATAATTTCACTCGATGACCAGACATTTTAATGTTTAGTTTATATAAGTTCTTGTATAAAATATTCTTTATCTACTGATATATATCCTTTGCAGTAAGTATTCGCTAAAATCTTGATTAATATCGGTGTATAGACCATTCTGATCAATTGCTATAGAAAGTTACTCTCTACTTTACAGAGTCGACGTCTCAGTGTGCACAGGCTTGTATCGCGCTGTACGCTCCTGTGTGTGGCACTGATGGAGTCACCTACAGCAATTCTTGCTTCTTGGGCATTGCGGCTTGCGAGAACCCTCAACTTAATCTACGCATCGCCCATCAGGGCAAATGTCGTAAGTTTTGACAGTTGTGTAACTGTTTATATTTAATGTTGATATATGAAGAGCAGAGAGCACATGGTGGTTGATGTTTTGATCTGATATTCCTCTGTCAACAATGTAAAAAGAGAGCAAATGAGAGAGTGGGTGAGATGTTATCAACAAATTTTTGTTGAAAATAAGAAAAAGTTTTGAAGTGAGATTAATAAGCTGAGGAATGTTATGAACAGAGCCTGTAGACCCCTTTACTATGGTGCTTCACCTAACAAACTCAAAAACAACAGGATTATCTCGTCTAGAGGTAATCATACACAGGTTTACTTATTAAGGAAAGGGATCTTTATAGTTTCTGCTTGTTTTATTAACTGCATTAATAATCACTTACGGTTTCTAGCATCAGTTAAATAATTCAGTCTTCAAAACAGAACTTCTCATATCGTAATAACTTAGTAAAAACATATATCATTCGCCTTATTATTACATCACTGTAATACGTTAAATATTTACAACCAGCTCTAGACAATTTCTAGGCTGAATCACAATAAGTCAAAAGATGTGTACATACACAGACGTTTTACAAGCTTAAATGCAACACCGATGCAAATAACAGATCTTCCTCTGGGACCATTCTACAATAATCCCTTTTCTAGATCAGTCTGTAGGTGGCGCAACATTTAGACTCGTTCACTCATTCCTATTTTCCACAAGAGTTACTCAACCCGCCTTCACAGACTGAGATCTACCATAGAAAAGGGCATACAAAATTCCCGGTAACTTCTGTGGAAGTGTAGTGTGACTTAAGCCAGATTCTCCACCAGTCTCTTCCTCGACTAGTGGAAGGTGTGAACTAACCTAGGAAAGGTTTAAACACCAGACCTCAGCTCGGTCTGAGCGGGGGTAGAATAACTCTAATTTCCACCTGGTGTTTCACCTCGTCGCACCTGTAGTTTAGAACATTGAAGCATCCTACCTACTCACAAAGCTAAATAAATTTATAGCCAGATAATGTTATAAAGATGAGTAAACTATTTCATTTTAGGTATTAATTAAGATTCTCCTTAAAATAATATTAAGTGAAAAATCCAAAATAATACGTATAAATATAACATCTCTTTCTTATAATGAGCAAAGGGCGTAATAAGGAAGCCTATGGAACGAATGGATTTGATAGTTAAAAATGAAAGAGGAGAGTTATTAAATGGGGAATCAAAGGTATCAGGAAGATGGAGGGAATATTTTGAGGAATTGTTAAATGTTGATGAAGATAGGGAAGCTGTGATTTCGTGTATAGGGCAAGGAGGAATAACATCTTGTAGGAGTGAGGAAGAGCCAGTTGTGAGTGTGGGGGAAGTTCGTGAGGCAGTAGGTAAAATGAAAGGGGGTAAGGCAGCCGGGATTGATTGGATGAAGATAGAAATGTTAAAAGCAGTTGGGATATAGTTCTCGAGAGATTGGTGTTTTTATTTAAAAAATATATGGAAGAGGGTAAGGTACATAGGAATTGGCAGTCAGCATGCATAGTTCTATTGTATAAAGGCAAAGGGGACTAAAGAGAGTGCAAAAATTTTATGGGAATAAGTGTATGGTAGAGTTATTACTGAAAGAATTAAGAGTTAGATGGAGATTAAGATAGCAGATGAACAAAGAGGTTTTAGGAAAGGTGAGGGGTGTGTAGACCAAGAGTTTTCAGTGAAACATATAAGTGAACATCACACAGATAAGGGCAAAAAGGATTTTGTGTCATTTATAGATTTGGAAAAGTCGTATGACAAGGTGGATAGGGGAGCAATATGGCAGATGTTGCATATATATGGAATAGGAGGTACGTTACTGAAATCAGTGAAGAGTTTTTACGAGGATAGTGAGGCTCAAGTTAGAGTATGTAGAAGAGAGGGAGATTATTTCTCAGTAAAAGTAGGCTTAAGAGAGGGATGTGTGATGTCATCATGGTTGTTCAGTATATTTATGGATGGAGTTGTAAGAAAAGTGAATGCTCGGGTATTGGTAAGAGATGTCGAGTTAAAAAATAAAGAATCTAACATAAAGTGGGAGTTGTCACAGTTGCTCTTTGTTGATGACACTGTGCTCTTGGGAGATTCTGAATAGAAGTTACAGATGTTGGTGGATGAGTTTCATAGGGTATGTAAAAGAAGAAAATTAAAAGTGAATATAGCAAAGAGTAAGGTGATGAAGATAACAAAAAAAAATAAGTAACGAAAGATTGGATTGGGGGGAGAGAGTATGGATGAGGTGAATGTATTTAGATATTTAGGAGTTGACCTGTCAGCAGATGAAAGATGAGGTGAATCGTAGAATTGAGGGAAAAAAATGAGAGGTGCTCTGAGGAGTCAGTGGAGACAAAGAACTTTGTTCATGAAAGCAAATAGGGGAATGTATGAGAGTATAGTTGTACCAACGCTCTTATATGGGTGTGAAGTTTGGGTGATGAATGTTGCTACAAGGTGAAGGCTGGAGGCAGTGGAGATGTCATGTCTGAGGGCAATGTGTGGTGTGAATATAATGCAGAGAATTCGTAGTTTGGAAATTTGGAATAGAAGTGGAATTACTAAAACTATTATCTACACGGCAGTTTTATAACTGTAGTGTAAGTGTGCCTCTGGCAAGACAGTTATGAAGTGAATGATGGTGAAAGTTTTTCTTTTTCGGGTCACCCTGCTTTGGTGGGAGACGGCGGATGTGCTAATAAAAAAAATTCCTCAGACAATACATTCACTCTCAAAGGAACATTAAAAAGTGGTAAGACAGGCAAAGACACCTGGGTATCTTTGTACACATGTTGCACATGTTTAATTCGTCCAAATAAAGAATACGATGTTGTTTATTTGAATTTCAGTTTGTCTCAGATTTTGGTTAGGTCGATGATAAAGTAATTAGTGAACATGTGTCTAGCCTTGACTGGGGATAATGTGTGTAGGATTCCAACCTGCACACTCTGTATCACAGTACGCAGTACTTTAGCCACACAGTCAGATCACAGAATATGTATCAGCTCCCAAACGAAGCTAGACTGTAACTCCTGTATCCCGCAGCACCTGACTCACAAGTTATTATTATTATCCCGCAGCACCTGACTCACAAGTTATTATTATTATCCCGCAGCACCTGACTCACAAGTTATTATTATTATCCCGGAGCACCTGACTCACAAGTTATTATTATTATCCCGAAGCACCTGACTCACAAGTTATTATTATTATCCCGCAGCACCTGACTCACAAGTTATTATTATTATCCCGCAGCACCTGACTCACAAGTTTTTATTATTACCCCCGAGCACCTACTCACAAGTTATTATTTTTTACCCCCACAGCCCCTGACTCACAAGTTTTTAATTTATCCCGCAGCACCTACTCACAAGTTTTTTATTATTTTCCCACAGAAACCGACTCCCCAAGTTTTTTATTATTACCCGCAGCACCTGACCACAATTTTTAAATTATTACCCCCCAGCCCCTGACCCCAAAATTTATTTTATTCCCGCAGCACCTGACTCACAATTTAATTTTTAAATTATCCGCAGCACCTGACTCACAAGTTTTATTATTATCCCCACACCTATTTCAAAAGGGTTATTATTATTATCCCGCAGCACCTGACTCACAAGTTATTAATTATCCCCACACCTATAAAGGGTTATTTTTTTTATCCCGGAGCACCTGACTCACAAGTTATTTTTTTTTTTATCCCGCACCCACCTGACCAAAAGTTATTATTATTTCATTATTACATTTATGAACGAAAAACCCTTTAATGGGGTCATAAAACCCCCCTTTGGATATTTAACTATTTAATTTATTTACATCCAAAACGGAGAGGGTTTTCAGCTCTCTGAATCAAAGACCAATCATCAGAAATCAAAGACCATTCACCAGCATCAAAGACCATTCACCACATCAAAGACCATCACCAAATCGAAAAACCTTTCCCCAAGCACAAAACCTTTCCCACCACATAAAAGGGACCATTCCCCCAGCAAAAAAAGACCATCACCACATAAAAACCCTTTCCCACCAGAACCCAAGACCTTTTTCACCAAAACCAAAGACCATTCACCACATCAAAGACCATTCACCACATCAAAGACCTTTTCACCAGTATAAAAGACCATTAAACCCCATCAAAGACCATTCCCCAAAAACAAAGACCTTCACCAGCATAAAACCCCCCTTTCACCACATCAAAGACCATTCACCACATCGAAGCCCGGTAAACCACATAAAGGGCCCAAATTCACCAGTATAAAAGCCCTTTCACCAACATAAAGGGACCTTTCACCACCCTCAAAGACCATTCCCCCAACATCAAAGCCCCTTTCACCATATCAAAGCCCCAATTCACCACATAAAAGACCTTTTCGCCAGCATCAAAACCTTTCCCACCAAAACCAAAGACCATTCACACAAAACAAAGACCATTCACCTTTATAAAAACCCCATTCCCCATCATAAAAACCCCCTTTCACCAAATCAAAGACCTTTCACCACATCAAAAAACCATTCAACAGCAATCAAAACCATTCCCCACATCAAAGCCCCAGTCCCTAGCATCAAAGACCATTCCTAGAAATCAAAACCTTTCCCACCACATCAAAGACCATTCCCCAAACATAAAAAGACCTTTTCACCAGAAATCAAAGCCCATTCACCAGCATAAAAGAAAAAACCCGCCACATCAAAGACCATTCACCATTATAAAAGACCTTTCCCAGAAACCCCAAAGGGACCATTCACCACCCTCAAAGACCTTCACTACATCAAGGACCATTCACCAGTAAAAAAAGACCATTCCCCAGTATCAAAGACCATTCACCACCAAAAAAAAACCATTCCCTGCATAAAAGACCATTCCCCCAGCACCCAAAGACCTTCCCACATAAAAGACCTTTTCACTAGCATAAAGGGAAACCATTCCCCATATCAAAGACCATTCACCAAAAATAAAAGGACCCTTCACCACAAAAAAAACCCCTTTTAAAACCACATAAAAGACCATTCACCACATCAAAGACCTTTCACAAAGCA